ATGGCTAGGTTGGGGATATTTAATAACTGCATTTTAGTAGGCCAAGGGCCAACTGCTCAGTGGAAAGCCTGCCCCTGTACATTAAATTGTGTGGTTCAGATCCTGGAATCCTTTAGCTTTTGGCCAGTTTCCGAGGTTGCCTTTCTATTTGTTTTTTTAGGAAATATTGTGGGAATTAATTCATTTTTCAGAGATTGCTTGTAATGGCTGCTGTATCTTTCCTCACATAAATGCTTCTTAATTGGCTCTCCAGTCGCCTCCTGAGACAAAGAAGGCTGCTTAATGTGAACCAGTCAGGATCCTAAAGCAGGACATTTTCATTTTATGTTGTTGATGATTTCAGTTACACATTATAGGTTTAATGCATGGTGTATTATTTTTATTTTTTATTTTTTTGGTACTAGTTTTGGACCAATCGAATACAAAGGCCCCATGAGTGCTGTTTACATTGAGAAGTTTGTCCGCCGGGTGATGAAACCACTTCTGTACATCCCATCTCAATCAGAATTACTAGATTTTCTCTCAAACTACGAGGTACCTGTCTTTCATATCTCCTTATATTCCCAAGACTTCACCGGGTTGTATTGGATTGTTTGTATAGAAAAGTTTTTATACCTCCTGATTTTGTAGCAATTAAAAAGTTACATTATAGATAAGCCCAAATTAAATGCTTTTTGAGATACTTGATTATAGGGATGGTTTGACCAAGTGAGTTTTAAGAAAATAGAATGCTTTGCAAAACCTTTATTTTTTATTTGGGAATTTTCAACAAACTTTCAGTTTGCCTCACAATTAACTTAGAGTATGTAAGAATTAACTTACAATTTATATACAGCGGCAAATTTCTAAAAATTTTATTTGATGCTTTATGGCATCTTACTGATGAGGTATCTGGTTTTTCTTGTCAGTTGTAGTTTAGCCTTTCAAAGCAAAACAAAACTGAAAATACATTCCTTTATATTTTAAGTGTATAACTATTTTAAGGTCTTAACTGCTTTTCCATTGCCAATTTCAACACTTGATAAATTATTTTTATAGGATGTTCAGTGTATGTGCAGGACAGTTTATTATTGGGAGAACCAGTATAAAGCTTAAAATAATCTCAATAAATTTTAAAAATAGTTTCAAAAAAAATTATTGGAGCTAGTATAAAGTCATTTGGGTACAACAAGTGAAAGTGCTGAATCCACTAGACCCGTGGTTGGCAAACTGAGGCTCGGGAGCCACATTCGGCTCTTTGGCCCCTTGAGTGTGGCTCTTCCTACCCTTAGGAGTACCCTAATTAAGTTAATAATAATATACCTACCTAAATAGTTTAAGTTTAAAAAATTTGGCTCTCAAAAGAAATTTCAATCATTGTACTGTTGATATTTGGCTCTGTTGACTAATGAGTTTGCCGACCACTGCACTAGACCAGTGGTTGGCAAACCGTGGCTCGCAAGCCACATGCGGCTCTTTGGCCTCGTGGCATGGGCCACGAAGTTTCAAGCGCACTGTACGTGCGCGCCCGCACGTGGTATTTTGTGGAAGAGCCACACTCAAGAGGCCAGTTTGCCGACCACTGTACTAGACCACCAGGGAACTAGCAAAAATGAAAAATGGTGCTTAGATACAATAAAATCAGGACCTTAAAGTTACCAGATACATATAAAAACCATATGAATCCAGACCTCATAATTTAGAATTCAGTAATAGTGATGGATTGAATTTTTGTGCTATGTAGATTTTATGTAGATTGGATATTAATTTCTTTCACTAGAACATGATTAACAGCTTTTTCAATCATGTTAGAAATATTATTTATATGTTAACTATGAGCAGATTCTCCAAGCAGCAGTATTAATATTTAGTTCTGCTTGTTCTCAGATATATATTAGAGCAAATTCTTTACTCTTAAGGTGGATAAAGAATGTATTTCTGTGGTCCTCACTATGTTGTCTCCCATTTTGCCTGGGTAGGTTGGTAGGCCCGAGCTACACTGGGAGGTAGGGCATTTGGGGCTAGTGTCTTTGGTAGCACTAACTAGGTCTGTTGATTTGATTCTTGGAATCTTCTCTATTGTTGAATCTCTGTAAATTGTTATTTCCGTTAGTGTATGCTTAATTTCTGACTGGACCTTTTTCATATCTTTGACATTCTCACTAAGATCCTTGAAAGTTTCATGAAGATCCTTGAGTAACCTTATAACCAGTAGTTTACTTGCTTCCATTTCTTTCATTTGTGACATTTCTTTGTCTCCGCATTTTGGCAGCTTCCCTGTGTGTGTTTCTATTTATTAGGTAGAACTACTATGTCTCCTGAAATTCGTAGAGTGGCCTTATGTAATAGGTGTCCTGTAGGGCCCAGTGGCTCAGCCTCCTCAGTCACCTGAGTTGGGCACTCTAGGTGTGCTCCTGTGTGCACAGTCTTGTAGTTGAGCCTTGATTGCTGTTGGCGTCTCTGGGAGGAATTGGCCTCTAGGCCAATTGGTTGTGAAGACCATCTGTGACTATAGTGAGAGAGCTGCTTTGTAGGAGGTGAGGCCTGGCTTAAAGCTAGGCAGGCTGGTACTAGTGCCTGGTCTTGGGCCTTTTATTGATAGGTTTGGGGCATGCTGTTACCAGCTGCAGCTTGTTTGATTGATTTTAGCAAAGCCTGAGCCAGGACAGGCCATTCATATGGAAAAGCTGCTGCAGACAGCTTGGGCAGGGCCTCAGGGAATCCTCAGGTGGAGCAAATAGTGTGCTCCAGGCTGATTGAGACTTAGCTATGGCTGCCAGTCAGCCCTGCAACGGGGGAGGAGCATAGAAACAGTGACCCCTGAGAACATCCCTGTCTGCTAGAATGCCATCCCTGAGTTTCTGCCCTGATGCCAGACAATCCAATTGCTCCCCTTATGTGTCTGGGTCCCCAGAGCCACCTGGTGCTGGAGCTCAGAGATATCCAGTCCGAGTAAGTTTGTGCGCTGGCCCTTTAAAAGGAACAGCTGGGTCTCCAGCAGCCTTCATGTTTCTTAGCCACAATCTCCGCTGGTTTTTACAGCCCGTAGACTTCTCCTCCCAGCTCTGGAACCCTGGGCTAAGGTCTGGTGTGGAGCTTGGACTCCTTGCTTCCCAGCCTCCGCAGGGACAGTCTCCCTCCCAATAAAAAATGGCACACATGGGTGTGGGACCAGCCCATTCCGAGGCTCTGCCCCTCCTACCAGTCCCAGTGTGCTTTCCTCTTTACTCCTCTAGTTGTAGGACTTCCATTTAGCTAGCTTTCAGGTGATTTGGAATGATGGTGGTTCTCTATTTTAGTTGTAATTTTGATGTGATTGTGGGAGGCGGCAAGTATAGACATTTGCTTATGCCACCATCTTGGTTCTCTCTCAACCTGTTATTATTTATTGGGTCATTAGCATTTATTCTGCAGAACTGGGAGTGTTCTATGTATGATAATCATAATATTGAGACAGAATCGGTTCTAGAATTTTCTTCCCAGATATGCACTAAAATCATAGCTACCTTATAAATAATGAATTTAGTGAAAAACTGAAGTGAACTTGCCAATGCATACTACAGAGGGAGCTCAAGAGCTTCAAGTCATCTCATTGTAAACCATGTTAAGAAATTTTACTTCATTTATTCTAAATGTAGAATCCGTCTTCCTGGAGGTTCTTCTTGCCTACTTAAGATACAGACAGGAAAATGTGATTTATTGTGGACAACATAGGGAAGCATATCCCAGTGTCATTTTTATTTTGGTGGACATTAAGTTTGGTGGAAAGGAGATAGGACTGAGTGATGGTAATGTCACTTTCAAAGTCATTAGTCTTATGGCTCTTCTAATTTTTGTATTTTTTAAATTTATTGATTTTAGAGAGAGAGGAATCGAGAGAGAAACATCAATTTGTTCATTTGTCTCTAATCCAGATATTTGTGAACAGTTTAGACCATTTATGCATTCATTGATTGATTTTTGTATGTGCCCTGACTGGGGATCAAACCCACAACCTTGGCATATTGGGGATGATGCTCTAACCAACTGAGCCACCAGGTCAGGGCATAATTTTGGTATTTTTTAGGTATCAATTGGTTATGGTATCAGTAGCTTCTACATCAATAATGCTTCATTTTTCATTTTATTTATAAATATTTTATTGAGAGGAAGGGAGGGGGAGGAAGGGAGAGGGAGAGAGATAGGAACATCAGTGATGAGAGAGAATCATCTATCGTCTACCTCCTGCACACTCCACATTGGGGATCAAGTCTGCAACCCTGGCATATGCCCTGACCAGGAATCGAACTGTGACCTCCTGGTTCATAGGTTGATGCTCAACCACTGAGCCATGCCAGCCGGGCTCTTTTTTATTTTTTTATTAGACTCATCTGATTTGTATCTTTTATTCTACCCACTAAGTGCCAACAATGTTATTTAACTCTTATCTTACATATGCGGCCAAAATATTTTCTGTCTTTTCATGAATTTCTATAATTTATCTGTTTAAGAGTAGTGATTTTGCATGCATCCATTCATTTATTTTTATCAGTTATGGTAAACCAAATTGTTTTACATTTAAACGGGATGGGAAAAGGCTTGGGACTCTTGGAGGTGGAAGCATGGTGTTGAGTACAATTGCCATGTGACAGAAAACCTGTGTATTTTGGAGAAACATCTAATAGAATGTCTGCTACCTGCTGTTATACTGTTATTTGTTAGTAAAAATACTGTGAATGTTGAGCAAATAAAGAGATATTGTTTCTGTCAATTTATAGTTTTATAGCACCGTGGACTAAATAGTTTTAAGTATTCTAGGTGTGCGTTAACATTAGTGCAGAAATATTTCAATTGCCACTAGAGGTTGTATAAATCATTTGCTGAAATTTATGCCAAACTGCAAATAGTATTCACTTAGGAAATAAATATTTAATGCTCATGAGGATTTGCTGGCCTCCTATAGTCTATTTAACCTCATTTTAGCAGTACTGAATATACTGTACATTATGGAATGGAATTAAAAACACAAAGGAGGTCAACTTACAATGTGGCATTCATTATGTTATGTTTTTTGCTAAATTGTAAACTCGATAAAAGAGTTTTGTCTTATTCACATTTTTATCCCCATTCATTTATTAACAAATGCTTATTTTGTGTCTACTCTGTGCTAGAAACATGGTGATGAGAGAGACTCTGTTTCATGGAGTTCTAAAGTGGAGATAGATAACAAAAGAAAACAGATAAACAAGGTGTAGGGGGTTGAGTAGTGTCCTGTTTGCAGTTGAGTTCCCGTGGCTGTTTACCTGATAGCTGTAAGAATCTGGGAGTGGATTAATAGAAACACTGCAGATGGAATCTGGGGTCAGGTGATCTTACACATGGTAAGCAGCAGAGTGAGGAGGGACAACTTATGTACCAGCAGGGCTTGCACCCCAACTATCTAACCCAGTGTCAGGCTGGCTTATGTGCTGAAAGAGAGCCTCAAAATATATTAGGCAGGGTTACAGTTGTGCTTTGAACCACCCCCTGCTTTATTTGCACCTGAGCAAACAAGGGACCTTGACCTAGAAAGATCTACATATGTGAATATGCATGGGTTATATTCCCCAAACTCTGCTTTTTCCAGATTTAAGAAAGAACCGTGGAAGGAACTCTGAAATACGTAATCACCTTTCAAATACAGCTTCTGATAGGCAAGACTGAAACTTTGGGGAAATGGTTGCAAAATTTGTTTGATCTTAAGCAAAACCAGAGCCAGTTTAGTAACTTTTAAATGATAATTTGTAATAGAAATAAACAGATAATTAGCACTTTATTTCTTCTTTTTATTATTTTGAAATATTAATTTTAAGTTACATTTTCAAACAGGCCAATTTTCAAAACTTATACAGATTGTCACAGTATGGTGAATATTTTAAAAATAATACTTAAAATATATTTTGTCTGGGGTTTTTTTTGGTATGTTTTAAAATAGCTGGTATACAGCTTTAAATCATCTCATAGTTGTGGAATCCTATCTGCGTTTTTGACAATGAAAAGAAAATAATTTTGCATATGATATTACTTGCTTTGTATTGTTTATGAAATTTCTTTGGTCAAACTACTTGAAAAGTTCAATACCAGTTCTTCTGAAGATAGGCTCCTTTGTCCAAGCTATGTAGCCCCTTGGAAAATTGCAGCAGTGATGCCCTTGACAAGAATAAACCTGTAGAAATGTCCACAAAGGACCCCTGCAAATGGTCCAACCTTTGTACATTTTAAAATATATATTTTATTGATTTTTTACAGAGAGGAAGGGAGAGGGATAGAGAGTTAGAAACATGGATGAGAGAAACATCGACCAGCCGCCTCCTGCACACCTCCTACTAGGGATGTGCCCGCAACCAAGGTACATGCCCTTGACCGGAATTGAACCTGGGACCTTTCAGTCCACGGGCCGGTGCTCTATCCACTGAGCCAAACTGGTTTGGCCCTTTGTACATTTTTAAAGGTTTATTGCGGTTTCTCTTGAAGACTCAGGATTAAAAACTTTTTTACTTCCATTAATGTCTGTACATGTGTGCATTTCTATGTATAAACATATATAATTGCATACATTCATGTAGATATAAATGTGTTTATGGGCCATATGTTCACTTCTGTGAAGTCATTGGTGATAACATGATGTGACATTCATCTCATTTAATTTTTAGTAATGAAACATTTATTAGTATTTAGATGAATTTATTTCATTTGGTTTTGGTTTGGGAGATTGGTTGTAATATAAAGAAACTTAAATGAGTCCATTTTGTTTCCACTAGCTTTCATTTATGTAATCTTGCATCCAACATTAACTAAGTGACTAGAATATCTGAAGGTTTGTTTTTCTTTTGTTCTTTGTAGTAAGGTTTATTACACCGTCGTAGCATGGTTTGAAACCCAAATGCAATTCTACTTTCAGCCAATTCTGGATTGGCTTGTTAAAAAGATTATGGAGGAGCCCTGGCTGGATGGCTCAGTTGGTTGGAACATTGTCCTATACACCAAGAGGTTGCGGGTTTGATTTCTAGTTGGCGCATTCCTAGTTGTGGATTCAAATACCTGGTCAGGGCACATATGGGAGGCAATCGATTGATTTTTCTCTTTCACATCATTGTTCTTTCTCTCTTTCTGCCCCTTCATCTCTAAACATATTCTCGGTTGAGGATTAAAAAAAAAAAGATTTTGAAAGAGTTTAGCAAAAGAAAATTTCTGTTTTCAATACTTTGTTTTCTGATGTTCTCAGTTTTTTTAGAAATTGGTTATTTGCTGGATTTTCTTAGATAGTATTGGGATTCAACATTCTGACTATCTCAGTTTCTGTCAGAATAAAAACCAAGTGATTTATTTAAAATTGAATCTTGCCCGGCCAGCATGGTTCAGTAGTTGAACCAGGAGGTCACAGTTCAATTCCAGATAAGGACACATGCCCAGATTGCAGGCTCAATCCCCAGTGTGGAGCATGCAGGAGGCAGCAGATCAATGATTCTCGCTCATCATTGATGTTTTTATCTCACTCTCCCTTTCCTTTCCTCTCTGAAATCAATAAAAATAGATCCTATCTAATAAAGAGGGAATATGCTAATTGATCCTCATGCTGTCACAAGATGGTGGTGCCCCCAGCCAATAAGGAGGGAATATGCTAATTGCTGCCACACCCTCAAAGATGGCGGCACCCACAGCCACAAGATGATGGCGCCCAGTCCTTTCAGCCCCACTGCGGTGGCAGGCGTGTGGCCGCTCCCACTAGCCTGCCTCTGGAGTCCCCCAGTCCCTCAGTCCCCCAGCCACCCAGGGCTGGCCCAAGGTGCAGGCAGGCCTTGGATGGTGGCTGCCCAGCCACCCAGGGCTGGCAGAGGCTCAGGTGACGAGGGTCAGCCGAGGCTTGCACTGCCGGCAGTGGCAGCAGCAGAGGTGTGATGGGCGTCGCCTTCCCCTGATCGCCAGGTCATCTCCCATTCCTGAGGGCTCCCAGACTGTGAGAGGGGGCAGGCCGGGCTGAGGGCCCCCCCCTCCAGTGCATGAATTTTCATGTACTGGGCCTCTAGTTTTATAAATAAATAAACAAATAAAATTTTATGAGAGTAAGCACGTGATTTGGATTTGAAAGACAGTATGTTCCACTACAGATCAGAAATTTTCTTTTTTTATACAAATTACTGATTTAAAATTTTACCAACAAATGAAATTCCTACTTTATCTTATGGGTCTGATTTTGCCCCAATGATCAAATCAGCTCCACAATTATTTATTAAGAGCATGATGTTGCATGCTTTAGGGCTAGAGAGAATTCTTTACATTTGCCTAGTGCTGTATAGTTCCTCAAGCTCATTCTTCTTAGTAACCCTATGATGAATTGACCCATTTGCTATATAAGGAAACTGAGGTTTCTCTTTGAAGTGTTCACCCAACATCATTTAGCTTTTGGACTTAAGCTTAAGTGTTCTGACTCCAAACTCAG